GGCTGTTGGGAGCAGAGAAAGGCTGTTGGACCTGGTAGAAGCTGTAAGGAGCTGTTGGTTGTTTTGGAGGAGCTCTTCATGCTGGCTTTCCTGATGAACTTGGCTGTTTTCATCCTCCGAGGAGCTCGGGACCTTGTTGGCAATGAGAATGACTTTGATTCACTTTGGGGGAGCTCAGGTCCTCACTTTGAGCATGGCTTCCTGGCTCCGAAGGGGAAGATGGTGCACCGCCAGTTTCCTGGAAAAGCTTGCTGCATTGGCTTCCCTGATGGGAACTCAGCCATCTTGATCACTGGAGGAGCTCCAGACCTCACTGTTGCTGAGGATGGCTGTGGTACCTTTCAAGGGAGTGCTGGTTCTTCTGAGCATAGCTTTCTGGCTCCAGTGCAGATCCCTTAGCCTGCTAGTATAGATCCTTCATCCTGCTGGCACAGACTTCCTAGACTCCACCACTGACCTTTGGGCCCTCGCAGCAGATCCGTGAAACAGGCCTGCATGAGATATTGCTATGGGCTCTGAGCCTCCAGTTGGACTCGTGGGAGGCATTGTTATGAGCTCTAGGTCTTCTGCTGGACTCATGCAGAACATTATCATGGGATCCAGGCCCTCAGCTAGATTCTTGGTCTTTGTGTGTGGACAGATTTCCTGCACTGTCTTGTATATCATTCTTTGGGTGACTATTATAAATAATCTTATAAAATATGTGTCCTGTATTATATATTGTTCCCCTTGCAAAAGTAGCCCCAAACCAACACATAAGCATATTGTACACACAGATACAGTAAGCCCCTGAAATTTTAAGTGGATACTTAACATTTTGCCTTGAAATGAAAAATAATTACTTTTAGCAACTTAATGTATAATACATAAAGAACACAAAAGTGAATGGGTTGGTTGGGGCAAGTGCCGGCTGCCAATTGCAGATACTCAGGAGGCTGAGGCAGGAGAATCACTTGAGCCCAGGAGCTAGAGATAAACCTAGGCAACATAGCAAATCTGTATCAACAACAAAAAAAAGGGGGGATAGATAGGCAAAGTAACTATGCAAATTCCATTGTTTACTCTCTAATTTCATTATATTTCTTACAGAAATACCCAGTTGGATTTCTTTATAAACAGCAAATGTGAGACATAGTGAAGAACTTGCTTTGTCAGATAAACATGGAAAACATGTTTATCCTCTTTAATAACATGCTTCAGAAATAAGGGAAATACAATCTCTTTAGTTGTCTACTCCACAGAATCAAAAATCCAGCTTCAGGGCTGTGAAGCCCCAGCCAGGTGAAGCTGTAGTGATTGTCCCTTGGAGCTGAAAGTGCCAACCTGAGTTCTGGGGGACCTGGGGAGAGGATAGCTAAGGCTGCAGCCTCGAGATGAAACTCTCTCCACCCCGCCACCCTTTCCCCTGCCTGCGCCCTCCTCAGTGCAGGAGGCCCAGGTTCATAGCAGCCTCTCCGTCTCCAGCACTTCTGCCCGGGCTCCTGTACTTCTGCCCCTGGGGCTACCAGGAGGTTGTGGTGTTCAGTGTCATTTGATCAATTAAAAAATGAAAAAAGTAAAATAAAATCCTAAATCAAAACTTGTAGAAACATTGGACTGGCTCAAGGTCAGGAAATGAAAGAAGCCAGTCATTAAAAGACAAATACCTGTGATTCCACTGAGCTGTAAGAGATACCTAGAGTAGCCAAGCCCAGGGACAGAAAGTAGAAGGATGGCTGTCTTTGCTTTGTTTTGTTTTCCTTACTTGTTTTTAGTTCTTTAAAAATTTTTCAGAAGGATGGTAATGACCAAAAGCCAGAGGAGTTTGGGAGTTGGTTATACAACCATGAATGTACTAAACACCGCAGAACTTAAAATGATTAAGACAGCTAATGTGATGTTACATGCATTGTATCATAATTTGAAGAATAAATAAAAATTTATAGAAATAATAGTTCTTGCCTCTAGGGGCTTTTCTTGAGTGCATTCATTTATTTTAACATAGGATGATGATAAATTTGCAGACTTCACTTGAAGAACCCATAATTTTAGGACATATGGGGGAAGATAATGAAGGCCAACTTAATGAAATCAAGATGTCTTATGTCACTTCCTGTGAGCCACAGATGCTTTCAGGCACTGTGCTTCTGCCGTGAGAGGATGAGCATGGGGTAGGTGAGGGCCTAGGGAACCATTATGCTATTCTCTTTACTTCTGTATTTTTCATAATAAACATTGAAAATAAAGACAGCTGAGGTAGGAAAGTAACCAGGGTAGAGGGAATGATGGGAAGGGCCATATTGGCCTTTCTACTGACACAACACTGAAAGAGAGAGTAAAACATGGAGATATTTAAGAATCTATTTTGAAAATATGAACTTGATGTATTGAGCATAATGCTGACAACTTTAAAAAGCAATGTGAATTACCCAGAAAGGCTCTCAGAAGAAAGAAATCATAAAACCAGTATAAATTTATATACAATGACATTTTAAATTTTACTCTATATAAATTAGGATAGAAGCCATTTTTACAAACAGTTTTATAACTATATAACTATATATTCCTGTATAAATTAGGAAATAAACCATTTGATAACCAGTTTTATAACCATGCGATATTTGAACATGTGTGTCTGATTTATTTCACATAAGAATATGGTCTCAAGCTGCATCCATTTAGTTAGGTAAATGTCTCAAGCTTATCCTTCTTTATGGCAGAGTAGTATTCCAGTGTTTTAAAAAAAAAACCCACATCTTTTTTATCCATGCATCTTACCCATTGTTCTTAGTGATGGTCCATGGTTTACACTGGGGTTTATTCTTTGTGTTGTATACTCTCTGTTTTTTTAATTTTTTAAAAATTTTTATGAGTTCATGTTTGCAGTGCATCATGATCACATTCATGATGGGGAGCTGGTGCATAGACAGGACATATTTGTTTTTACATTATTCTGTGATAAAACAGAGCTCAAACTCAGTAGAAAGGGAAACCATCACAGAAAATAGGACTCTTTCACAGATATTTTGTACATTTGCCAATGAACTGAAGAAGAGCTCACAGGCCAACTGTGTGTAGACCTGTGGCACACCAGAGGCAGCTGGGAGCCCTGACCCACTGCGATTACAGCAAGCAAGAGGCAGGCAGGCACGAAGCCAGCTCCTACCCCACAGGTCAGGAATGGGCCCCCCTCCTCATACCTACCCTGCTGCAGGAGGGGTATAAACAAAACGAAGACGTGTTACATTCATGCACCAACTCTCATGTGGAATGTGACCCTTAGGCACCACCCACACAGACTAATGAAAACAAAATATAAGCAAAAAGATGTTAGGTCAATCTTCACTGAGTTTAAAAAATATCTTTTGCATAGCTGCCAACATTTAAAATTTCAGAGATTTCTCTTCCCCAGTCTGAATTTGTTTACTTCCCTTGAAAAATCAAAAGACTGGTAACTTTTGGGGCCACACTCCCAACCAGGCAAGACACAGAGCACAGTCAACCAGGGCAGCCACTGACCCAGTCTCCAAATTGCCTTGTCCCTGGCAGCCCAGTCTCCACTGAGGCTAAAGGGTTTTCACTAACTGGTGCTTTGATTTGTTTTCAGTCCAGCTATGAGCTCACCCCACACCTGCAAGAGAACTGTTCTTAATTAGAGGTGTAACTCTCAACAAACAACAAGGAATAAACAACCAATATTTACTTAATCCTTGTCTATCAGAAAAATTAACATTAAAATCGACTCAAGACAGAGAGATTGTTACCACTATCACTGAACATTGTTCTAAGCAATGCATAAAATAATAGAATTATCACAAAGAGGGCAACAACAGCAATAAAACTCTTCACCTCCAATTGATCTTACTCCCCATAAAGACTGGAATGACTGAGAAATTACAAAAGCTAGCAGGAAAACTCAGTAAGGTGATCGAATGTTTACAGAATTAAAGCACAAAAATTAACAACTCCTTTGTATATTAGCCATAATCATAGCAGAAAAAAGATGAAATGAAAATTAAACATGACACTAAGCAAAATTATAAAATATAAAGGAATGAAATTAAAAGATGCCAACAAGGTCACATGGTCCAGGACAGGAGACTTCCCAAGAAGAGTCCAGCATCCAGTCACCGCTCAGAGGGTGGCCTGACCCTTCCTCAAAAGAGGGACCTGAACCTCTCAACTGTTCCCCAGCCACGCTGCCAAAGTTCAGTGCAGGTGTGGGTCCCAAGAAACGGCGGTTTCTCGCCTGGTGATCTGCTGGACCCTGTCAAGACCTGCATCTCCTTGGTTCAGTTCTGAACCATGGAAATCAGTTCTGAACTGTTTTGGTTTCTTCAGGTGCCTATATATAGGACCCAGGACCAAGCCACAGACAATCAGGATGCCTTCCTTCTCAGGAATCCAACAAATTTTCAGATAGAGAAAACTTAGTCTTTAAGGAAGAGAGTTCAAGAAACTCTTTAAAAACTTTTGGCAGAGGATTTTCTAATTGTATGAATGGAAATAAAAAAGTAGAGAGGTCTTTCACATCATTTCTGAATACAATCAAAAGAAGAATGCTTTGGAATGTACAGCTTACATTATTGAGAAATCTCTGATTACTGAGGTCCTTAATATTTGAGAATTCATAACTTTGACTATGATTTTGTTTCAGGGTTGTCTCTTACTCTCTGAATAAAAGTAGGTTCCTAAGAAAAATCTATCATGTAAACAAATGGCTTAAAGCAGCAGAGAAGTATCTGTTTACACTCAGGTAATTAATATGCTGAGCATTCTTATCTATTAAATTAAAGCAGCTCACCTAAGGACTTTGCCAGATAATACTTCATTAGTCTAATAATAATGAGTTACATGGTTGAAATCATAAAATGGACATCTGTTCTAAAACATTCTTCAATTTAGGCCTTTTATTAAATCAACATAGCTTTTATACCTTAGCTTTCAATTACTGATGTTGTATATGGCAAAAATAAATAAATAAGCCTCCACTGAAAAAGGAAATAAAATTTTGTTTTTACCTTTGATGTTTTCCATTCCCAACCATCGCCTATCTGTTGTGAATGTTTAATGAATTCTGCACAATAATGCTGGAATGTTTTTTCCTCCAAGAACTCATCTCCTTCCATGTTGAATGATAACTGTAATATAAAAACAGTATTAGCACCAGCTTTAGAACAAATATTGAAAGCAATTCTGCTAATTGACTTAGTTCTTTAAACAAATTGAAGTTTGGGCTATACAACAGGAAATAACCTCAAGGCTATTCCAAAATATGTTTTGCTTCCATCTTTCAACCCTACCCTTATTATTTTTTTATCCAGTTAACACGAAAGCCCAAAACCTAGATCTTTAAGAAATATTCACCTGTGTTCTTGTTTTTGTTTTGTTTTGCATTGGATGCTGGTGATCAAACCCAAGACCTCACACATTCCAAACATGCACTCTACACTGAGCCAAACCCTAGCCATGGTCTATGTTGTCTGTAGTGACAAGGGGGATGTTGAAAATGGTTAAATTCTTACTGTTGTATTTTGTAGGAGCTACTTTTACTAAAATCTTTAGTTTGCCCATAGCTTGTTTAAAAGTTTAACATTTACACCACTTCTAAGATAATGTCTCCAAACAACCTCCTTAGAACTTCCTTCTCCACCTTCTAGCTCAGCTCCTGTACTCAGAGTGCGACAGTGATTCGAGGAGGCAGGGCATTTTCCACACCTGTTAGAAGGTTCAGCTCACTGACAAATGATGTGCTAAAGCTTGAAACTGTCTTTCAAGGTATAAGGTTATGATCACCTATTTGATTATCTACTTCATCAAATCTCCAAACATAACCTATCAAGATATACCACAAATATACAACCATCCAAGCTGGGCATGGGCACATACCTGTAATCCCAGCTCTTTAGGAAGCTCAGGCAGGAGGACTGAAAGTTAGAGCACAGCATAGGCAACTTGGCGAGATCCTGTCTCAAAATTAAAATTAAAAATGGGGCCAGGGATTGAGTGCAAAGGCCTTGAATTCAATCCCCAGAATCAATTAATCCAAAACATGAAACACTGTTTAGAGAAAGAAAATTTTACAGCACAAAGAAAACACACAGGCCATGTAGCTCAGAGCTCCCAATGAGAGAAGCCAGACAGTGAATTCTCATGTTTCCATCAGTCACCAGCATCATCATAACTATGGCCTATTCTGTCAAACATTATGCCACATACTTCATCCCACTGATCCTCACACAACGTGTGTTGTTATTCCCATTCCTCAATGTAAAGGCAGAAGCAAATTATAATTTTTTAAAGATGGGCAAGTTCCTAATTTTTTTATTACTTTTTATTCTCTTTAATTGTTCAATCAATCTTGTATTCTTACATCTGGTAATCTGAGCAACTTCGCTCAAGGTAACACTATGTAATATAAAAAACACTGTTAATTCCTATCATCTTGTTTTGAAATCCTGTATTGTTTTTATTGTTTTTGTGTTGTTTTCTTTTTGTTATTTTGTTTTTTTCTTTTCTCTTTAAAATGAAAAAAATTTTAAAAATGGGCAAGTGAAATGAACAGACACTTCTCAGAACAAGTAAAAATGGCCAATAAATACATGAAGAAATGTTCAGCATCACTGGCCATTATAGAAATGCAAACTAAAACAACACTGAGATTCCATCTTACACTGAAAAGAATGGCTTTGACAAGAAATCAAGTAATAAACGTTGGTGAGGCTGTGGGGGAAAAAGGAACACTTCTTCACTGTAGGTGGGAATGTAAACTAGTATAACCACTGTGGAAATCAGTGAGGAGATTCCTCAGAAAGCTAAAAATAGAAATTCCATTTAATCTAGTCATTCCCCTTCTAGGCATCCTCCCAAAAAAGTTAAAGACATCATATTGCATTGATACCCATGCATACTCATGTTTATAGCAGCACAATTCATTATAGCTAAAACTTAGAAGGAACCTGCCTGTCCATCAACAGATGAATAAATAAAGAAAAGATGGTATTTACACACAATAGAGTACTACTCTGCTATAAAGAATAAACTTGATTTATTTGTAGAAAAATAGATGCACCTTGAGATCATAATGCTAAGTTAAATAAATCAGGCACACAGCTTAAATATTACCTGGCTTCTCTTATATGAAAAATACAAATTATAAATAAAGAGCAAAATAGAAGACTGATAATAGGAAGTAGAGAGATAGATGGTTTTCAAATGAGAAGGAGGTCAAAAGATGGAGGAAAGGGAGTAAAAGGGGATAGAAAAAAAAAAAGAACTGAAAGAAAAAAATTGAAATAAGAGGTTTAGCAAGTAGGAAAGGGACCAAGAGTGGGAAGGAGCAGGGAGGGAAGGGAAGGTTAGGGGAAGAATAAAGAATGGAGCCACGTTATGCACACACACCAGCTCCCCGCAATGAATGTAATCACCATATACTGCAAATGTGGACTCATAAAAAACACAAACGAAGGGGCTGGAGGTGTGGCTAGGTGGCAGAGCACTTGTCTAACAGGTGGGAAGCCCAGGTTCAACCTTCAGCACTGCAAATAAGTAAATAATACAAATGAGAATGGATCCAAACCCTTGCTTGGTTCCCGGGCCAATGATTTGCCTATACTAGCTGTTTCCCAAACAACTGATGTTCCGATTATGCAAGTTTAGCATGACCTATATAAGAACGCATTCACTCATCCACCAAACACACACTGAATATCAGTTAAATAGCAGGCACTGTGCATTGGGAAAGGACAGATGTAGGGAAATGAGAGTTATAAGAGTTCATGTTCTGACAGAGGGCATAAGCAACAAAAATAATTTCAACAGAAACTCTCCTGAGCAGCCTGCACTCACCAGCACACCAGGTCACCTGGCCCAGGGTACAATCCTCTCTCCAGAACCCTGGCCAAGGCCTCCAGCCTCACAGCATGAGGCACCCCAGCTCCATGCCTGTGGGCTGTGTCTGTCCACAAACCATCTCCTTACATCACAGATACGGACTTCACTTAAACATCAAAGAAAGCAAACCAGCAATGCACAAGTTAGAAAGACACAGTTGTGTCTATGCGTGAATGTCTTTACCCGACCTGCTCAAGGTATCTATAAGAGAAACACTACATCCAGACTCTGCATTCACACTGCTGGGCAGGGCTTGAGTTCTTTCATTTCCACCACAACTGGAACTCTCTAAATCACCCACGCTGGCCTCCAACTTGCAATCGTCCTGTCTCAGCCCCTTGAGTGGCTAGGATGACAGGTGTATGCCGCCACGCTGGGCTGAGTTTTTGGTTTTCCATGACAAACTGTCTGTGGATAAGGTACAGGGGCTGCACTGGGGGTCTAAGCAGGAGGACAGCATGAATAAAGGGTACAAGGCACAAAGTGCGGAGTTTGGTGCTACTGACACAAGATGCCCGGGCTGCAGGGAGAGACAGTCAAACCACACTGCATTTAGTTACGCCTGTCCACCTTCACTAGCGAAGCAGAAACAGGTGGGAGGGGCCTCAACCATACGAATGAACTGCCTGAGTGAGGTAGGAAGGGCCTGGCCTGTTTCCACAGCAACTGGGGCACCCAAGCTTGGAGCTGAGGTCAGAACGTATGACCAGGGCTCTGGGTGGGGAGGTGGATGGAAGGGGCACAGGCCCAAATGCTCGGAGAAGAGGAAGACGCCCTGCAGGGGTCTGGTGCAGTGGTCCCGAGGCTGCGAACCATGCAGTGAGAGGGAGGAGGAAAACCATGCGGCATACACCATGGGAAACGCCAAGGACAGGTTAGGATGTTGGAAGTCATCTGGATAGAAAGCATGAAGGCAAATATTATCCAGAGAGAACTCATCTACAAGATCCTTCAAGTGGCTTCCTGTGGCTCACAAAACGACACAGAATTTTGTGCGTATATCTATGTTCATAATTCTCTACAGCTGTTTAAGGGGTTGTGTTGGTTTGGTGTTATTGCAAGGAGAAACAATACAGGACACATATTTTACAAAATTATTTATAATAGTCACCCAAAGAATCCAATATACAAGACCATGCAGTAAATCTGTCCACACAGTAAAGACCAAAGAATCCAGCTGAGGGCTTGGATCCCATGGCAATGTCCTACATAAGTTCAGCTCAGACCTAGAGCCTATAACAATGCTTCCCATGAGTCCAGCTGGAGGTCCAGAGCCCATGACAATGTCTCATGCAGGCCTGCTTCATGGATCTGCCCTGGAAGGTCCAAAGGTCAGTGGTAGAAGGTAGAAAGTCTGTGCCAATGGGATGAAGGATCTGTGCTAGTAAGCTAAGGGATATGCACTGGAGCCAGGAAGCAACACTCAAGTAAGAACCAGAGCTTCCCCAAAAAGAACCACGGCCATCCTCAGCAATAGTGAAGTCTTGAGCTCCTCCAGTGATGAAGATGCCCAAGTTCCCATCAGGAAAGCCAACACAGCAAGCTTCTCCAGGAGACTGAGCAGTGCACCATCTTCCCCTCTGGAGCCAGGAGGCGATGCCCAAGGCGAGGATCAGAGCTCCCTCAAAGTAAACTGAAGCCATTCTCAGCCATAAGGTGCTGAGCTCCTCAGAGGATGAAAACAGCTGAGTTCATAAGGAAAGCCAACATGACAAGCTCCTCCAAGAGAGCCAACAGCTTCCAACAGCCTCAACTTCTTCTCCAGTTCTGCCTCTTATGCTTCTGGCAACAATCCTCAGGTGGGCCTCCCACACCCAGCACCACGCTTACTCAGTTCAGCTGGGGGTTATAAGTTGACCACCGGTTGTCAACCACCACAGGGGTCTTATCCCAAAGCTTACACTCCTGTGCACAATGAAAAGAGCAGTGGGCAGGGAGACCGCTGCAGAACACCAACATCTAAGGAGCCTGCAGAGGAAGAGGAACCAACCAGAAAACGGCAACAAAGAAGGCCACAACAGGGGCAGATGCTAGCAGAGGCCAGTGACAGGGATGAGTGTTTCAGGGCTGCAGAGAACAGCCCAGAGGCCAAGAAGGGCACCAAGCGGAAGAACAGCTCACTCAGAACCGAAAACAGCCCCTGCACCTGAGGCCACAGCAGTCACACTGCCTTCCTGGGTTGTGAGGGAGCCTCAGAGAGAAACCAGGAGGCTTTGGGCTGGGAAGAAAACTCCACGCGAAGAAGCCGTGGAAACTCTGTAGACTGCGTCCTCAAAACGCTTGGGGGAAAGGAGATACAAACTGATGACTGAAGTAGTGCATGGGCAAAGGGAAGGATATGTTTTCCTAAGAAAAAAATAGTTTAAACTTAGCATAGGTGATGAAGAGAGAGAGAAAGCCATGGGGGGAGGAGCGTCCCAAGGGGCCTGGGGTCACAGCCAGGAGCAGCAGGAGGGTGTGGCCATGAGACACCTCGCCCTGGCATTAGTGCAAGTGCAGTGAGGGCTAGCTGAGGTTAGAGCCTCTGAAAGCAACCCGGGGAAAGGAAGAGGAAATGTTCATGCAGGCAAGGTGCAGTGTGCAGCGGGAGGACAGGGTGAATGGGAAAGAGTCTGAGGAGCAGGTAGACTTGCAACTGAGGCTGGAGAAAGGACAGCAGCAGATGGAAGCCAGGACCCATAGAGGCAGAGCTCCTGGGGGAGAGTGCGACACTCAGGGAACTGCTGTGACATCTTCAGAGGCTGCTTCCAGTGCAGAGGCAAGAGAGGAAGAGGAAATGCTCGGCTAACGAGGGAAAGGGAGAGATGATGTAGGAGAAGGTTGAAGGCGTTGGGAAAATACAGCAGCACCAAGGGAGGTAAGATACCCAAAAGAACGCCAGGCAAGAGGAGGAAACTGCAAAAATACGGGATTTTAGAACTCAGTGGTCTTAGCAGTGGCCCCAGGAGGGAGGGATTTATTCTGTAATTGGAGAGGAATAGGGCTGGAGATTCTGCTCAGTGGTAAAGTGTTTGCCTACAATCACAAGGCCCTGGTTTTAGATGGGGAGAAACAAGAGAGGAAGGGGTAGAGGAAGCCAGCAGCCATTAACCCTGGACAGAAACAGTAGACACAAAAAACCCTACATTGTCACATAGCTTTTAAAATTGCACTACACGAGCTTCAAAAGAGCAGGATTTTTATAGGCTGAAGAAGCACCGATGAAAGTTGGTGCTGCCGGCAACTCCACACTAAGCTATGTGGGGTGGAGAAAGAAAGCAGCCTCTGCTCAGGGGCTTCAGGATTTTTATTTTTTTAAGCCAACATTCTTTTAAAACAAGTGGTGGGACACCTATCTGTGAAGACAGTAACATCACAAGAGATTTAGTATGGAAACTGATCCATACTGTATCCATGCCCCCACGCCACTTGGAATCTGTGGTGCAAGCTATGGTAGAAAAAATGAGCTCAGAGCATCCTAACTCTTTGACTGCAGAAGCCTCCTCTCCCTGGGGAAACTTCCGAAGGACCTGCTTTTGAAGGACCCAGAGTGCAGTGGACTCAGGAATGTGCACCTGCAGGGATGCCCACAGAGGCACCATCAAACCTCCCAGGGTGGGAGGGAGTCTCTGGGTCACACACACAGTTCCGGTTTCAAAGGAGCTGAAGAGAAGGGAGAGAGAAGAGAGAGAAAGTGACCCTAGGATGCACTGACTGGAAGAACAGGAGTGAAGTGAACAGCAAGAGGGAGGCGAAGGGAACGGGGTGTGTAGACGTCCAGGAGGAGAAGGCCTGGTCATTGGGAGCTCTGTCACTGAAGCCGAGATGAACAAAGGGGACGAGGAGAACCAGTGCTGTGACACAGGAGGCCTCCAGCCCCAAGCTTCTGGTGCAGACTGCAGGTCTTGCCTGGCTGGGTGCAGTCAGGTAAAGGCTCTCACAGTGACCAGGAAGGACAAGATGGTGCAAAATGCAGCTGAAGCCTGGCAGTAGAAACGCAAAGGAGGCAGGAACTGGCCTTGGTATGTGAAGGTGAGGGGAGAAGCGCTTCCAGAACATTCCAAGCATCCTACTGTGGAAGGCAGTGTGTGGACTGCAATCCGGACCCCTGCAGGTTGGGAGTGAGGTGGGTTCCGGCTGGTAACCTCTCTGGGATGCACAAGCAAAGGGTCTGGTGAGCACTGTGGGCTGAGGCCGGAACCGGAAGGAAGGGGACATCTGGCTGGACATCTGGGTTTGTGTGAGGACCCCACTGATAGAGACAACTCACTGCATCACCCAGAGAGGGTGCCGAGCTGGAGCAGGAACATGAGGCTGCAAGGAGCGCTCAGAAAGATCTTTTTCCACACGTCCAGCTCCCCACCGTGAGGTAACTGCTCCAAACTGAGGACGCCCACTAACAAAGAGAAGGAGAGAGTTTCTCCACCTGCTGGATAATCCCAACAGACACTGAGAGATACCAAAGCAGAGAAACTGTGGCTTCAATTCAGGAAGGACTTATATTCATGAGTTTTAAAATTCTAAGTAAACTCTCACTAACAAAACAGAACAAATAAAAACTCTCCACTCTCCAAGCCCTCCAGATACTTGAAATTTACTTACCTACTGAAAAATGTTAGTTGAAACATAAAATTTTAATCGATAGCCAAGTCTATGCTACTAGACAGAGGACTGAATGTCACAGTGCTGATGACCAGTTGGTTGAATACTTTTAAAATCACCCAAGGGCTGAGACTTCAAACCACCCCAAAACACTCCCCAAGTTACAGGTGCAAGACAGAAAGAGTAAACAATCCTCTCCTGGGCACTGGGAACCAGTGCTCCTCCACAGATCTGCTGGCACCCCGCATCCCAGGCAAGCTGACCCCGAGAGGGCTGCCGTCCCCACGCAAGTCCCTCCTGTCCAGGGCAGTGACCCCAAACTCCCAGCCACAGACAGCACCACTGGGCAGCTGTGGGGTAAGAGCAGGGGGCCCACAAAGTTGCAGCCTGAAGCTGCTTCTGTGATGAGCTCAGAAAGGGCAGGGGAGAAGTTCAGGGATGACTGCATGCCCCCAATTCCAAGGAGAAGGCAAAGCCTCTGAACACAGGAGACAAGAGGAAAACACACCTGCGACTGAAGAGGACACGGACACGGCAAACTGGAGGACACTGAAACATAAAACAGGAGCTGCTTTGAAGTCTCCAGTACAGGCAACTGGGAGAGTGCAGAAGCTGGAAAATCACAGTCCTCATGAGACACTTTCCACACACACAAGAGTGTCAGGGTGAAGACAACGCTCCTGCCTGACAGGAAGGGCAGAGAACACGGCCCCGCCCACGAGCGGAGCGTGGTGCTTCCCAGCTGAAATCAGAAGCAATGCGCCAAGGAGACACTCCTGAGCTCAGAAAGATTAAAAAGATTTACATATAAATCGAAAGGATTCATTATGTTTCTGGGAAAACTGCGGGAAAGAAACCTATAGCTTAGTGCACTATCTTAATTTAAAGACTAAAAAGAAAAACTCCAAAGATCTAAGTAGAAAAACTGATTTGCAGACAAAAGGAAGAATCAGGATAGCCTAGGCCAGGGAAACCAGAGGAGGACACAGGAGGATCCACAGCCTGGGGACTTCAGGCGCTCCGTGTCCGCACGGATCACAGGCACACTGTGAACTCTAAATACAAGTGTAAGCAAATGTGTATTGTGTGTCTCTACCTCTCCACAGTACCCTTGTTTTCCAGGCACGGTTACACACCTGTAATCCCAGCTACTCGGGAGGCTGAGGCAGGAGGATCACAAGTTCAAAGCCAGTCTACACAACCTAGCAACATCTCGTCTCAAAATAATAAAAAGGTTGGGGATATAACTCAGTGGTAAGGCATGAGGTTTCCTCCTCATTACTGAAAAAATTAAAAAGTACCTTTCTTCAACTCAACTCCCAAGCCAAGAGGGTCTTTTCCAGGTCAGACTTCTTAGGGGTTTTTTGAGAGCATCTCACTATGCAGTTCAGGCCGGCCTTAAACACACTTGTAGCCAAGCTTCACCTCAAACTCGTAGCGATCCTCCTGCCTCAGCCTCCCAAGAGCTGGAATTATAGGCATGCATCGCCATTCCCGGTTCCTGGTCCAACTTGTAGAACATCTTTCTGGTACCAATATCATTACTTTTACAAGAAGATTATAGGGGCTGGGGATTTAGCTCAGCGGCACAGCACCTGCCTGGCAAGCACAACGTGAGTTCAATTCCTGGTACCAGACAAAAAACAAAACAAAAAAAATACAAGAAGATTATATTTTTTAAAATACACTGCAAGAATTCTGTCCAAGAAATTGATCCACCAGCTCAAGCTGACCCTTGAATAGTGGGATCTGCGGAAGAAATCTTGGAGCCAGCACGTATGCTAATTAGCCCAGAGCCAGGAACAAAGGGTCTGATGTTAGCAAAAAATATCCAACAAATAAAAAGGCACAGGAGCATGGACATAACACATGTGAATTTTTTATTTCCCCTTTAAGCCCTCTCCTTAGGCTGGTTTTAAATTTGCTATGTAGCCCAGACTGGCCTCCAACTCAAGATCCTCCTGCCTCAGCCTCTTGAGGGCTGGGTTACTTACGTTGCCACCATGTCCAGCTGAATCCAATTCTTGAAGTACTGAATTATGGAAACCGGGGCCTGCCAGGTGGAAACAAAGGTACTCCAAAAAATAAGGAAAAGCCCTGCAAAGCAAAGGCCTAAAAAGAGCATAAGGTTTAGAAAGCTAAAGCACTGTACAGGCTACTGGGGAGTGCAATAGGGGCAGTAAGGTCCGCTGGTCCCCAGCCTTGGGGAAGGAAACGAGCAAGGTCCTCCATGCTTGTAGCAAAGGAGTCCTCCTGTTCTACTGGCACTCAGCACTCAGGGACCAGGCACAGTGAGGGCTGTGTGTGCCAGGCAGGCCCCCTAGGAGGAAGGGATCCTGCTGGAATCTTCGAAGGAGTCAGGGCCCAAAGAGGGCCGCAGGCCTCAACTCTAGGCTTTCTCAGAGCTCCTGTGGAACTTCCAGCCACAATCTGCATCTCGCCCAGTAAATAGCGACTGGTGCCAAGAGAGAAGCTGGCGCGCAGGGCAGTGCCACAGTTTATTTGAGTGGACAGCATTTCACTAATGGGGCAGCTCCAGAGAGCAGCAGCTTGGGGAGCAAAGAGCTTTTCCAGTGGGTGCAGAGCGAGGCTAAGGGGATATCTGGCCGCTGCAGGAGGCGATGGCTCCAGTGGGAAGCCCTTGAGCTTCGGTTCCTCTTCCTAAGCCCTGACTGCCTGTGCTGAGTTTGTTGGTTTACACAGGGTGCTAAGGCCTACAGGCAATGGATTCCTGGTTATTTTAACACAGGAAGCTGGTTTTGGTTTTCTTTTGTTTGCAGAGCAAGTGGTATGTTTGCAAAACACCATGAAGCTCAGAGTTTAGTCTGTGGCCTACTTTGGGGGATTTTTGTTTGTTTGTTTTGTATGTTTGGTTTGGTTTTGTTGAGACAGGATCTCACTATGCAGTTCAGACTGGCCTTGAATTCACTAGGTAGCCCACGCTGGCCCCAAACTTTCAGCAATCCTCTTGCCTCAGCCTCCCAAATGGTGGGAGTACAGGTGTGCACCACCACACCCACCTTGTGGCCTACTTTTAACAATTCTATAAAATAGAAACTGTACAACTGTCATATAACATATGTCAGTGTAACTCATCCTAACCTCATCCTTCTATTCAAGTTTCATGTTTTAAAATTTTTATTATACATATTTGCAGTATGTAATGATGACATTCATGGTGGGAAGGCATTTTTTCATGACCCTCATCTTTGTTTTGTATGTTATTAAAGTTTATAAGCTGCCTCAAATACTTTTGGAAGAAAACAGGGTATAAATGTAGAATTATAAACAACAGAGATAAAATGAATAATAGTAAACTAGATAGAGTAAGATAAGAAATATATATATAGAGAGAGAGACAGAGAGAGAGAGAAAGAGAGAGAGAGAGAGAAAGCCCCCATATTATCCTGGGAGAGTTTTAAGAGGCTTTTAAATAAATATATATCTCATAGTCTTCACCTCCCACAGCTTTTAATCAAATGTGTAAAGCTTCAAAATGAAAACATTAGAAAATAAGAGGGTAAAAATCTGTGATAAACTGAACAGTCACTGAAGCACTGCTAAGAAATAACAAAAACAGCGTGTGGAAGGGCTCCATTTGGTGAGACCTCCAGTGGCCCAGGACTCTGTCCATTCTAAGGACAGTGCCACAGGCAGTAGAGGCTAAGTAATGGGCTGAGGCACGGCTGGCAAGGCCACAGCTTGGTCTCAGGCATCTGGGACCACAGCCTGTGTCTACAGCACGAACGCCAGCTTATCCCTGAATTGCAAAGAAAGTAAAAAGGGAAAGATAGGACAGAAGGGGTGTTGGGCAACAGTGAGCCGAGGGTGACAAGCACAGATGCGCCAGGCTCTGCCACTGCCAGAGCTTGCCTAGAAAGGGTACTGTGGGGTACAGGAAAATCTGCAGAGCAGGGAGCAAGCAGATGAAATATTCTTAAAAATCAAAGGCAAGTCCATTGAAAACAGTGGGCAATGATGCCAGGTTGCTGGTGTGGGCCCATCACTCTGGGAGGCTGAAGCAGGACGACCCTGAGTTCAAGCCCAGCCAGGGCAACTGAGATAGACCCTGTCTCAAAACAAACAAAAAAAATACATAAAAATGGGCTGGGAATGTAGCTCAGCGCAAAAGCCCTGGATTCAATCCCTAGAAAGATACAATAGATGAGAGGTAGGTGGGTAATAAAGTGGACAATGAAACCATCACAGACCACTGAACTCGAAGGGCTGATAGAAGGTTTTCTTGGAAAGTTATCACAATGGTGGTATGAATAACCTTGACTCAAAAGCTAAACTCTGCTAACTACTGTCCTTGGATCTCCTACACCAATGTCACAAGAGGCTTCAAGGCTGGGGTCCCAGGCACACCGGAGGGGACCCTGCTCCAGTGGAGTTTTTGGCAGCCTCTCCAGAAGCAGGAGCCCTTCTGTGGTTTATTTTCCCTTTCACTACTTTCCAGTTGTTTAAGACCCAGCCTGTTTGAGCCCCAAAGACCCATTTTCAATAACTAATCACCAATAATGTCTACAGCTCTTTGTTTGTCTTATAGTTCCTAATTAGCAGTCAAACACCACCTTGAAGGTCCTAAACATTTCTAGGGGCCTCAAAAATGCTAAATAACCACACAAGCCCAGTGTGTGCAACCTTTACCCTGCCTGTGTTTCCTGAGAAGGTTCTTACCTTCTCAGAAAATTACTTAGCATTGAAACTGCTATCAAGATATAATTGTCATAAAACATTATTCCCAACTTCGAGGGTCCCATCATGTAGCAAGATCTGATAATTTATCCTAAATAACACAGGAGGACTGGGAGGTGGTAGAGGAGAAGCAGGGGACAAGGGAATAATCCTAATCCGTACCCAAGTGAACTCAGTTTAGAACTATTTCCACTAGTTCCCTCAATTAAAATATCAGGAACAAGTTTAGGAGGGTGTGACAACAGCCCATACCTATAATCCCAGCATTCTGGGAAGCTGAGGCAGGAGGATCCAAAGTCAAACCCACCTTGGGGAATTCAGTGATTTAGCAAGAGCCTATCTCAAATTGTGAAATAAACCAGGTGTGGCACACCCTCTGTAATCCCAGCATTTAGAAAGCTGCGGCAAGAGATCACCATTAGTTCAAGGCCAGCCTAGCTAAACAGTGAGACCCTGTCTAAATAAATAAATAAATAAATAGACAAATAAATATTAAAAATTACAAATAATAAAGAGGCTTGGGGTGCCACTCAGTGCGAAGGCCTTGAGTTTAGTCCTCTAAACTAGTAAAATAAAATGGCTGGGGATGTAGCTCCGTGCCAAGGCCCTGAATTCAATTCCCTGTAGCTCCCCTCACCGCCCCCCGAAAATCAATTAACTTTTACACTCTGTACTGTTCAAAAAATTCTGATCTGAATTACTCAATACTCAAGTTTTATTTTCCAGTGAAGGTTTTCATTTTGTGACATTTCTTTCCCCTGGTCGATGTGTGGTCCTCTGAAAGCAGAAAGGAGCGTTTCCACTTGGCAGGTCTCTGACCGTTGTGATCACCCCATGGGCCTGCGTTCTCCAGCCCTGAGACGTACACTTGAGAGTCTACCCCCGTGGAGTGGAGGCCCGGTCAGGACTTAGGAGTTACAAACAGGGCTCCTAGTAATAGCCAAATCCAACTAAAAATGAGGGAGGAAGCTGGACAGTAAATTGTGCTCAAATGCACTTGAAGAACTGACTACAAACACAAGAAACAATGATGGCGCCTAGAGCGCGTGGGAGCACAATCCTATATTCCAGGACTAGGACGGCAGAGGCAGGAGGATCGCTGGAGCCGAAGCTGGACACCAGCTTGAGCGACACGGGGAGACCCAGACTCCCAAGGGGAGGAGGGCGCTAAGACTGGACGTTAAGATACGAACACGGCCCTCGGGGCAATAAAATGTAAAGTGAAATAAATCAGACGCACAAACTTAAACGTTACAGGTTTTCTCTTACATGAGACACTCCATGCATAAACAGAGAGCAAACCAAAAGGCAAGAGGAACCGATCTCTGGCAAAGTGGTCGGCGCCCGAGAGACGGAGCGAAGGCGTCACGCACGCGCACCTGCCCCGCACCAGGAACGGGATCACTCTGCACTGCGCACATGGACTCACTTTTAAAGCTTTTAAAAATCAAGTGGTACCGTGTTTAGAGTAAAATAAAAAAACTTAGAACCCTGTAAACGGTAAAACCAGAACCTTCAGGAGCGCCTTCACGCCCAGCCGCACTCCCTCCCCCAGTCCACGCCCGCCGGAGCGAGTTTCTGGAAAGGGCGCGGGGAAGCTGCGCGCGCACACGCCGGGCCCGGCCGCG